TAATTGGGACCATAAATTGGGGTGTTTAATATTGAGGTGATGGGATTATATAACTCACTACTCCTCACATGGAACCAACATGAATCAACTGTGAGAGGGACTGGAGTGGCCACAATTTCAAGCAGATTTGGAACTATATGGGTCTGGGTGCCTAGTGAACCCTAAAATAGCTGGCACATGAATGTTCATCCCACTAAAATTTGACTTAAATTGACCATAACAGGTTTTGACCTACACCTATATAGTCTTGGATGGTTTTGGGCACTGGATCACCGAATGGAGCCTGTCCGGCGCGCAACAGGCTTCGTTCGCCCTTCGAGTTCAGCACAGCCAAGAGGGGCAGGGGAGCGAAGGGAATCCCAACGACATCAAGGAGCTCCTAGGCACGACCAGGTTTCAGCTACGAAACCCCTTGGCCCTTGGGTATCAAAACAGGCTGGGAAGCCAAACTAGATGGAGCCTTGAATGGTACCATATTATATCAATCATCCATTGGGACGTGTCCATTGCCAGTTTTCATTGGAGGATACCATCGAAAATCAAATGACCTCTAGCAAACTTGGATGTGCTTTGGGCTTCCGTGTCCAATTTTGTACAGGCTTTCTGCTGTTCAATTATGTTCAATTAAATGTCTATGACTCTTCTCCACAAGTAGAATCCGAAAAATCCGAATGTTCATTAGAGTGACGCAGTGCAAGGTTTTTTCGCACCCATTCGTCTCTCAATACTCATCATTCATTGAGAAAACGTCATAGCAATATATGGGGGTATCCCTGCGAAAATCTTCGAAAATTATGATAACCATCAAAATTGATCAATTCGGAGCTGTCCCTCTAAATTTTCCCAAAAAAATGCCCCCAAATGGCAATGGCAATGGCTTTCCCACTGGCGCCACCAACAAAACTCAGACCCGCACAGCACCACCCTTGGGGCTGAAGTCTTCCGCATCGATGTAGTGCCAATGCTTTCCCTCCTCGAGGTTCAAACCTTTCAGCCGCTTGCAGAAGACCTGGCGAAAAAAATGGGGGGCGCCATGACTAGTGACATAGTGGCATCCATGCCTAGAGTTGTCTGAATGTGGCTGCGGCTGTAGATTTTTCTTTGGGACAATTATAATGAATATAAATGATTATACAGGACACAAAATGATCCTGGAAGATGCCAAAGTCACCAAAACCCAAAACCCCCCGACTTGGATCGACTTGGCTTAAGGGTCAGATTTGGAACATCATCTTGGGATGGTCAAACGGTTAAACCCTGGCTTCCGGCAGTGAGTTGGCAGTTGTTGTTCATTAAATCTCTCAAATTCATCAAAGTATTCATAAGGATAAACCCCTTTATCAGTCAAATCTAGATCATCTATGTCACTTACATAGGGGGTTCTCTTACTAAAACTTAAAGTTCTTGGTCCCGATCCTTTTGTAATTTTAGATGTTCTTTTGCTTTCTTAGGGCTGTAATCTTCATATTTAAACCTACTAGTTTATCCAATGAAGCAATTAAGAAGGCAAAACTGTCCTTGAAACTCAACCTTTGAAATGCAAAGGTTACAAACTTTCTGAATTCTGCGCTATTACATCTATCTTTCTGTCTTCTGCTAGATCATATGCTTTCTCTATGATCAAATGGGCACCATAGTTTTAAGATTATGAAGGAAGACCGGCACTTTAAACCTTCTCATACTGTAATCTAAGTTACACTTTTGATGGGCGCATCCCCTATACTTGCCTGTAAAGTGGCATATCTTACATCATCCTTTTCAAACTGTTCACCACAAATGAAGCAATGAGTGGCATTATTGATTTTGTCTATGTCTTTTGCTGTTTTTATGGGTTCTTTGTTTTCGTTCATCTTCTCCATACTTTCATCGTTAATTTCAATAATATCTTAATTATAAAACATCTATATAATCCCCACCTCTGTATAAAAACTCTTCGGTTGAATTGTCAATGGCATTCGCTACATTAATCATGAAACCACAGGGTCTATGATGTTGGTATTTTTCAGTCTTTAATGTTTTAGTGCTGACCGTTCCATACTGGGTCTAACATTCAAAGCCGGCATAAATGACAACGGGTGCTTTCCATTATTTGAAATGCTTTTTGAATTTCATTGTTTCATCTTCACGTGGCATTTTGATGTGTTGTCCTTCAACTGCCATACAACCTTGTTCAATGTGTGCTTTCAATGTATTTTCATCTCTGAAAAGGTTCAGGCAATGATTACCGGTATGAAATTTCTTTGTCTTTTGGTAATCTGTCTTCCCCCTAAGCCTGCTATAACCTTTGGTAAATGCATAATGGTATCATGTTCTTCATCTTCAATTTTGAGTAGGTTTATGTGATGAGTTGCTTTTGTAACTTTGGTTTTTCTATATAATAAAATGCCGTCTTGATTTTCTAGTTCTTTACTTATGTTAAAAACAACATTGACTGATAATAAACCTGGTTATTTATTCTAATATATCTATGTCAATATTTGATGATGGAAAAAATACATTATCCCACAGACGTGTTCTCATAAATTTTACAAACTCCGCATTGGATACAATACTTGAAACGTTTATTGTCTTCATTCTGAATGTTGATACACACTTTCTTGTCTTGTATCCATTTTGGAAGTTCAATGAATGAATCACCCCTTGTTGGATTGTATTTGTCATAGTTTATTCTTATCTGTTCAATTTCTATTAACACTAGCCCACTCTCACTCAGTTCCATCTTTTCAATTTGAAATTCAATGTCCGTTGCCATTTGGAACATAACATAAGGTATGTCTTCTGCGCTGACGATTTCATGCCTTCTACTTTTGATGTGTTGCTTTGTTAAGTCATCAGTAGCCTTTTTTCTGAAGACACCTATTATATCAACAATGATTTTTAGACCGTTCTTTTCATTCAAAAATTGTTCAATCATGTTTTCTTGTTCAATCAGTAGTTCCAACGCTTGAATGCCTGTTAAATCAATGTTTGTACTTGAAACGGAGTTGTCATAACTCTTAAAAGCGCTGGTTTCTTCTACAGTGTTTGATGCGGTTGGTTGTCTAACTCCTGTACGTTTCTTGTTCTTCTTTATGTTAACCCATGTATCTTTCTTATGTGATATAGTTTGTAATTCATTGTTTGTCTGACGTTCTTAAGTTCCTTCATCAACTTTCCCGACAAAGGTTTTGACCTCTCATACTTGTAGGACTTCTCACCTATCTTACGTTTTTTATTGACTACTTCCGCCCGTTGGGAGGTTTGTAGGTAATCTAGAGCTGACTGGTCTATATCTGACGCCATATAATTTAATCCTATATATTATTATGAGGTAATATTTCTTTGAGTAGTTTTTGGGGTAGGGTTGGTGATTGTGATTTTTGGGAGTTGGTTGAAGATGAACGGATAAACATTATCAAGAACAACAGTCCTTAATGTTGATATTTGTTCAGCAACGGTTGGCACTATATTTCTTACAAATTCTAGTGCTTCTATGTTTTGAAAGGTTGGATTTGCTTGATATTGTCTTTCCACAGCCAGGGCAAGTTATGGGTGTTGATTAGATTTTGTTGATAGTATTTTCTGAAATAGTTTTCACCCCGTGTTTTTTTGTTGTAACTTCCGTCGGGATTTCTTCTTGACATTTTTGCTTTTGGAGTTGATGTTGGAGTTTCAGTATTCAATGTTTGAACCACTGCGTTTTAGACATCATCATTGACTTCTTGATGGGTGCCATCGCAGACCATAAAGCGGGGCATAATTTACTTTATTTTACAAGGCATTAATTTCTTTAGGTGATTTTGGGGTGGTATTTGGATTTGGTTTTCGGTTGGTGTTTGGTTCTGCTTAATAGGTGTGTCATCAAATCCTCCACTGGCGACTGCCAAGAAATCCAACCCCAACAAGTGTAGCGTCTCATCCATCCACGACATATCTCTAGAGCAGAGGTCGCCACTGTGGTCTGCTTATTTCTGCTTTCGCTCCCCGCATCAGTGGCACTTTTTCTTACTTCATTTTGTCTGGGATCACTGTGGGGTTTGCTTTGGCGATGAGCATCGCTCCCCCAAACCTCTCCCAACCCTCCCATCCCTCAAAGTACCAGACGATTTCAAATGATGAACCTTCTGAACAAGCAGGTCAAGCAAAGCATGACGCGAACTACATGTACAATGTGTCTATATATATATATATGTGTGTGTGTGTATGTGTGAGGATGGGTTCAATATACAATATAACATATCTGAAGAGTAAGAGGGGTGCGCATTGACAGTCCAAATGTCATTCATTGTGTTCATAAGAAGCCTTCTTTACAAAACAGTCTTCAAAAGTCCTCATTTGAAAACAGGACTAACCTGTCCAAGTACATCCTTGAAGCCTTCTCCGAACCCTTAAGAGTTCCAACATCTCGGCATACTCATCAGTGATATCTTAACCTCAATGCGGGCAAAAATGACAAAACAACTGTCAAGGGCAGTTGGGGCGAAGGATGGGGATTGGATAACTCTTCGGGATGTCTCTACAAGGTCAATGACCCTCTGGCTCAAGGCATCGGTGACTTGGACTAAACTACCCGACTTGGAGTTGAGAACACCGTAACTCTAATTTGTATCATCCCAGTCCTTCAACATGTTCACTTCACAGAGCAAAGTTCGGTAATGTCACTGCTTCTCACATCTTGCACATGACTGGCAAACGCCTAGGCACAACACTTTGTTTGCATCCATGACACAAAGCAAATCTCAAAATGGAGTTGCAAATGACATGACTGGGCAGCGTTTCTTTTCCCAATCAGCCCTTGAGGCGAGAGGTAGAAAATTGCCCGGCACGTGAACCGCAACGGAACCAAGAAGTCGGGTCTTCAGTGTGGCAATCTTCACACTGCGCGGCCCCGCCGGCCCGCTGTGCCAAGTTCACTCTATACAGCAAAAGGAAAGTCGAGTCATGCCCCTCACAATTGGCAACAGGTAAGTAATGCACATTGGAACACAGCTTCATGACATGAGTGTTAATTGTTGTAATTGATCGAATCAATACAAGTGAAGGGCTGGTTGAAGGCTGGTCTAGAGCCATGTACTGCAGCCCGTCTCGGAGCATCTCAGGCAACTCTCAACACTGACGCTGCGGGAACTATGCCAGCCGAACTGTGGTTAAACAGTGACACGCTTGTCACTGCAGGATGACACATTGCAGTTACCAAGGTCAATTTTCGTGATCGTCTGATTGTTGCTTTCGTTCAGAGCTTGAACAAGCCTTTCAGCCCCAGCATCTGTGATTTTGTTGCCATCCAAGTCGATCGTCTTCAAAGCTGTCTCCTTGTTCTCTTGCAATGCCAAGGCAATCTCATTCACGGTGTCATCATTGATGTCACAATATGAGAGCTCAACGGCTTCTAACGACCTGTTCTTCTTCAACGCACATGCAATTTCTGCAGCGCCCGTCCCCATCATCTTGTTGAAACTCAAGGTGATTTGTTTGAGAGCCGTGTTCGTCCTTAAGGCTTGGGCTAGAAGTGAAGCCCCATCACGATCCAGCACACCATCGCTCACCCATAGCGTGGTGATGCAGGAATTGGTCCCCAAAACTTCGGCTATGGCTCCGATGCCTCGAGCTGTGATGCCTTCATTGCCACCAATGTTTAAGTCTATCACTGTCTTGTTCTTCTTCAAAGCGTCAGCAAGTGCAAAAGCTCCGAGGTCTGTCATGCCACAGCTGCCTAGGCTGAGCCTCTCCACAGCGGAGTTCTCATCGGCGATGACTTTGGAGAATGCCATAACCCCCTCATCCCCGAACTCGTTGCCATAGAGGTGGAGCGTCTTGATGGTGCTTTTCTTCGCATTTGCCACCATTGCCTCAGCCAAGGCCTTTGCTTCACCCAGCGTGATTTTTTTGTGACTGAGTTGTATCCCATCAATCTTGCCCTGCTCAATTTCCTGGATGATGCTCCGAATGTTCTCGCCCACTCCTTTCTTCGGGCTCTCCGGGCTCTCCCCTTCCTGGGCGACCTGCTCTTCCTCATTGTGTTCCTTTTTCGCACCTCGCTCCTTGAGAGCCTTCTCCAAGTCCAACTTCTTCTTGACGTACTCACGGATCCTGGAGTTGGCCATCTCCAAGGCTTCTGCAAGACTGTCCGTGCACTCTTGTGACGCAATCCACGCAGAGAAGTCGGAGGGTTTCAGGTCAATGGGGTACTGTAGTGACCTGAAATTGGAGGTATTGGACTGACCTGGATATCCACCACCTACGCCATCCGGCATTGCGAGGAAGGATACGAACACCCACGGTGGCACACTACTTTGTCTACCTGTTTTCTCTTGATGATGACGGTAAAGAAGCAGTTGGTGCATGCTGATTGTGTTCTGAGTTTGCAATGCTCTGACTCAATCATCCGAGCGCCCCGGCAGTACCAAAGAAGTAGACGATGAAGACAACGCAACGCGGCCGGTTGGCCCGGTCGGCAAAACAGAAGTGACACCATCACAACCTCAACAATCCTGACAACCCGAAGCTAACAATCTAACAAAGCAACAGAGAGAAGAGAACAACACCACTCAATAGAAAAGAAAATAGAAAAGAATAAGACAATACTTCGATGACACATTTCCTTCATAACTGATACTAAAACCCATAATTAAAATTTTGCAACATATAACTATAGCATAATTAGAACCTATGAAGCAGAAAATAAAAAACAACAAAGGAGGAAAGAAAGCAAGAAGGGAAAGACTGAATGAGAAAAAAATACCCAGGAAAGAGTTTGAACAAAAATGGCAAAATGTATGAAAATGGATGAGCCAGAAACAAAGGAGAGCGAAAAACGATAATGGGTGAAGAGTTTTAAACGTTGGAGATCCATCACAAGTGATGCAACGGCTCCACCTTGCAAGGGCCGCAGTACTCAGCACCGAAGACCAGTACTCCAGGCGCATACCGCTGGAGGATCCCCAAATCTGCGGCCCCGCGCTGGACCGTCCGTCTGGTGTGGCTGCACAAATGTCTCTAAAAGAACATCACTATAATATGCAGAATAGTACAAACACACACATACATACATAATAATACATATATATATATATGTCATTGGATATCAATGTATATGTATATATATAATATGCGTGTATATACATATTATTTGATATGTACATAAAGGAAACCTTTTTTTCCCTGACCCGCAGCATTTTCTCCCAAACGCCATTGAGCGACTTGGATTCTTGGATGCCTTCGGATAATCAGCCGGTGGGCTGAAAAGTACCCCAGCGAAGTTCGATGCTTTTCCCAGCCGGGTTGGTGGTATACCTACCCCTCTGCAAAATATGAGTCAGTTGGGATTATGAAATTCCCAACTGAATGGAAAGTCATAAAATTCATGTTCCAAACCATCAAGCAGCAGCTATGAGCCCCATTAAAACATATCAAAACTCGGATTGTCCATTACCACGTTTGATGAACGATGATGAACGGGTAATGCTTTTACGAAGGCAAA